CCCTCAGCCGGTTCTCCCCCTCAGCCGGGGCTCCCTCAGCCGGTTCTCTCCCTCAGCCGGTTCTCCCCCTCAGCCGGTTCTCCCCCTCAGCCGGGCTCCCCCTCAGCCGGTTCTCCCTCAGCCGGGGCTCCCTCAGCCGCGAGGGCTCAGCGCCACCTGCTGCCCGCCCGCCTTCCCTGCTCCCTTCTTCCCTTCCTCCCTTCCCTCTGCCCTTCCTTTTCCTCATTTCCTCTTCTCTTCATTTCCTCCTTTCCTTCTTCCTTCCCCAAACACCCTCACCACCGGTGTCTGTGCCAAGGCCGAGCGGGCCACAGACAGCCATGAAAGGCCCCAGTGTTGGGTTCTGGAGCTTTCTCTTCTTGTTGCCCAAGGTACAGCATCTTTGCCTTGCTGGGCTGGTGCAATGGTCAGACACCAGGAGCCTTCGCCCGGAGCTGGGCATTGCCCCGGTCAGTGTTTGGGGTTTGGGAAGCCACGGTTYGGGTTCTGTGGCCGGTGTGCCTCCCCTCTGCCCTGCTGAGGCACTCTGCCTTTGGGCACCCCAGGAGGATTTGAGCTGAGGAGATCTCAAACCAAGCAGCAGCRTGGCTTTTGTGGGACAGCAATTTTTCCTTAAATTTTGTGTCATTTTGTRCTGCGGGAGGGCCTCGTGCAGCCCCGTGTGCCAAGCAGGGTGAGGCCGTGCAGCAGCAAGGTCACCGTGCAGCTGGGGAGAGCCTCGTGCCAAGTCTGGCCAGGTCTGGTGGGAAAGAGATGGGTCCCTGATAACCATGGGGGCACACTGGGAGCGGGGCTGCCATCGCCTTCTGCAGAGAACAGCAGAGGAAAGAGGAACGTAGAGAAGCTGCTCCAGGTTAATCCCCTTAATTGGGCTTCACTGGAGCTCTTCGAAAATTGTTTAAAGAGCCTTAAAAATGAACCTGATATGCTTGGAAATGGGGCTGCCCCTCTGAAATGCAGCTGTGCAGCTTGGTGTGGTAACTTGAGTTTTAAACAACAGCTTTGCAAGCGACCAGCAGGGTCTGACATCTCCTCTCCATTTTCCCTCATGGCTGTAGGAGCYGTGGCTCTCTGAAGTGACAGCAGGGTTAGCAGTTCCTGGTGCAGAGCTTTGTGTCCATGTTGATGGCAGCACTGGTCAGTGCCTTTCTGGGTGGGCTGTGGCTCGTGGTGCTTCACAGGACTGTGGGCAGTGGAGTTGGACATGCAGGCCTCCACATTTCATTTTCCAGYAGTCCTGGACATTCAGTGGATTATTTCCAGGGGTCAAGTAAGGTTTCTTAGTGTGTGCCACTTCTCAAATTATGCTGRAATTAATTGTGATAAAGCATTGCTATTCCCTCATTACTTGTCACTCAAGGAGCATATGGAGAAACTAAAGTCCCCGAGTAATGCTCATAGCTCCGTTGATGCGTCTCAACATTTTGGGATGAAAACTATAGAATGTGCTGCTTGAGTGCTGGAGGCTTCTTACTAAACTTGTTTATTGTAAAAAAAGAATCATTTAAGGTATAACATTTTTTCACAATAAATAGGTATCTTCTTTTGTACCCTGCATCGATGCTCCTCACTAAGGTTTGGTTGTATCTTTCAGCAATCAGAGAGGATGGCATGCCAGGAGGCAGAAACAAAAGCATCGGACCTGTCCAGGTGAGCACATCTGTCTGTCCCTCCGTGGTTCCTTTCAGCTTTTGGTTTCCTGGCTGGGCTCAGACTGCAGCAGCAGCTCGGCCTGGGCTGGGGCTGCTTTGGCTGAGCCTCTGTCATCCCTGTCTGTGCCTCCTGCTGGCATGGCTGGGCTCTGACAGTCACAAAATGRTCATGAGCTGTGGGTTTGTAAATAGAGCTGGGTGCTGCCTGTCCCAAGGTGCTGCATGGACACACGGACAGTCTCACAGCACCCTGGCCTTTGTGAGCCACACAAGGACTTTGTGAGCCACACAAGGTCTGTCCCTCCATGGCTCCCAGTAAATCTCCCTCTGCCTGCTGCAGCCCCTTCAGCTGTGGCAAGCAGGGCACCAGTAAATGTCTSGCTGATTGATGGTGCAGCTTGTCCAGAGATGCCTTGTAAAGCGCGAGGTAATTCAGCACAGCAGCTTGTGCCATGCGCCTGAGAAATGATGGCCATTTCCAGCTTGCTTCTGGGAAGGGGGTCTTTTAAAAGTTTACTGTTTATTTTAGCAAAATAGAAATAACACTGAAAGCAATTCCTGTGAGTTTGAGTGGCTGGCAAGGAACAGTCGGCCCAGCCCAAAGCGTGAGGAGCCAAGCAAGCACCTCTGTGCGCTGCTGGGCTGTTGTGTGCCTGTGGTCAGTGTCAGACACAGCTTATCTGGAACCACAGAAACCTGTTCCCTCCTGCTTTCCTTAAGTCACATACACAGAATTTAAAAAAAAAACCAAGAAGCCTCTAATGTTTATTGCCTTTTTCCCCATTAGTGGTGAAACATTCTTTCAGGAGCATGCCCAATATTTTCTTGAAACTTTATGTTACAATTAACTCAATTTTTAATTTTTTTGTCTATTTTAGCTTTGTATATGTTACTCTCTAGAATTTAAATATTTGAATCTCAATTGCTCCTTCAGGTGCCACCTGTTTCTTATCTGGGGGAAAATAGTGAACAGTGTTTCCCTGTAAATGTTTTCCTGACTGATTTTATATATGTCRCCTTGCCTCTCTTGATTGCTTTATCAAACCAAAGCCTGCCCCACCTCCTGTTTGCCTTCCCTCTGCCAGTCCTGAGTGATGTTCCCAATGCACTGGCCTCAATTACTCCCAGGTTTTTCACGGTGTGACAGTGGCTGATTTACAGCTCATTGCTGTGTCCATCTGACATCATCTTTTCATGTGTCAGTTCCTATCTGCTGTGCTACCCTGGCTTGAATGGTGCTGCAGGAGCTGGAGGTCACCACGATTACCTGTAAATAGAATTTTTCATGTGTGTTGCTAACTGCAGAGGAAGGATGTGGTACCTGCAGGAGGGGTGGGGCGTCAGCCCCATTGGATGTGACTGAATGAGGTGTTTGCAAACAGAGGATCTGCTTTTCTGTTCCCAGCCAAAGTAACCTGTGTTACTGTATTTGACAGATATCAGAGGAAGAGATTGAGAGAATTATGTCTGGGCAAGAATTTGAGGGAGAGGCAAACATGTCATGGAGCAACAAYGGAGACAGTGACCACAGTTCCCCTGGAAATGGAGTTTCTGAGAGCAACCAACCTTCACCTGTTTCTACTCCATCTTCAAGGTGGGAATGACTCTTGGAAGAATTTGGTSTTACAGGAATCTTGGCTTTCTTTCCCTGAGGGATACTTGGGGTCAGTGTAGGGAAAATGTGAGTGCATCTTTGTGTAAACTGGTCATGCAGCAGCTTCTTACYTCTGATTGTGTTCTAAGACAAACAGGCACTGGATTGAAAAGAATCAAACTGGGAAGTGAGATGTTTGTGCACACCTGACTCTYTCCAGGGCAGCATCTAAACAAAAGGCATTTCTATTCTCTGTGCTTTCCTTATTTTTGTTAAAAAATTGTTTCCYTGTTTTGTTTCTAATGGAGCTGGATGCGACATTGTAATAAAGCAGGTGGAGTTTTGGGGTTATATTAAAGAGCTTTTCCTTTTCCAGTAGGTCTGTGGAGCTGAACGGGTTCGCTGCACTCAGGGATCAGTACCTGGGCACGCCGGTGTCCACGCACTACCAGTACCTGCCGCACCTTTTTAGCTATTCCGCCCACTCGGCGCTGATGCCGCCGCAGCCGCGCAGCCTGGACCCGCAGTCACACAGCCTCATCAACCAGCTGGTGTGTGCCGAGGACCTGGAGCCGCTGGGCACACCCATGCTCATCGAGGACGGGTGCGTGGGACATGTGAACACATCCCCTGGGGCAAGATTGCAGCCACAGTGCAACAGCCAGCCAGACCCCATCCCGTGCATGGCTGTGCCTTTGCCTGGGGCTGGAGTTGGGGTGCAGCACRGGCCTGGCATGGGGTTCCGGGCTATGTGGTCTGGCCAGGCTGGMTGCTGGGCATCTGGGTGACCCCAGGGCTTGAGGGGACTCCCCTCAGCCCTTCCCGGGCAGGGTGGGTCCGGACCATCGTGGCCAGGTGACACTCTGGGCACTGGCAAACTCCTTTGGCATTTGCCTTGTTTTCAGGTGCCTCGTCAGACTGTGTCATTTAATGGTTTTAATGTTTTTTCTGCCTTTGTATTAACTGTGCCTGCAGGTATAAAGTGACTCAGGCAGAGCTGTTTGCATTGCTGTGTCGTCTGGCGGATGAATTGCTTTTCAGGCAGATTGCTTGGATCAAGAAGCTGCCGTTCTTCTGCGAACTCTCCATCAAGGACTATACCTGCCTGCTCAGCTCTACGTGGCAGGAGYTGATCCTGCTCTCCTCGTTGACTGTTTACAGCAAGCAGATCTTCGGTGACCTTGCAGATGTCACCTCCAAGTACTCTCCCTCTGATGACGAGCTGCACAGGTGAGACGTCKTTCTGAGCCCAGGGTGAGCCAGTGAGATCTGGAGATGGGGARCCATGGGGAGCCCAACAGTCAGGTACCCTCTGACCACCTTCTGGGACAGGTCACTTCACCTGTGGCTGTTTTCCTTTTCTATTTTTCAGGGAACAGTTGTTCCAGGCTGAGAAAGCACATCATGGTTAGTGCAGGATCACAGCTTCCTTCTGCAGGGAAGGAGCATGGTGCTGTGTGGGGCTGTCTGAATTTCATGTAGCAATGCTGTTGCCCTTCAACACAGCCCTACAAGCCACMTTATTATGAGGAGGGTAAAACTAACCAATAGTTTGGGTAACCCTGACACATGGGAAAGAAAGCCTTATTTAAAAACCTTTTGAGCTCATGGAAAGGTTGTTCCCAAAGCTGGTTGTCTGTATTATCAAAGTGTTCATTATTAATTGCTACTTCATTGTTTTGATTACATAAATTGAAAGATGTTGCAACCTAGCTCTTGTTTTTTCCGTGGTACAGACTGTCTGATGCTCTGAGGAACTTGATTTCATTTATCATTTCGGTCACGGTGTTGTTTTTAGTTTGGATATTTTATTTCATTGTCTTGGTGCCTGACAGATTCTTCTTTTGGTAGYAGAGTCACAATCTCACAGTACTTTGGCAGAATAGGTAGGATTTAGGGAAACTGCTGCCCTAAAAATCCACCCTTTTAAATACCTGCCCCTTGCTCTCTGCTGCTGCTGGGCTCATGATGCTGCTGGGCTCATGATGCTGCTGGATTCACCGGGGGATCCAATGTTTGATGAGACAGACTAAAACACTGCTGTGGTCCTCGGCCTTTGCAGCATCTCCTGGTTCTTTGGGGCTCCTTTGTGCATCTGTTGAGCCTGTGGTGGGGAGCAGAGAGCTGGACCCAGGTGTCTCATTTCCTGGGACAGGTTCCTCTGCGGCGCTGCTCTGCACAGCCATTCATCRTGCATCTGGTGCCGCTCCTGCAAGGAGCACTGAGGGTCATAGAAAACCACAATGACACTTGTTCCTGCATTCAGCTGTCCTTTTGTTCCTGCTGTCCTGGTCAGAGCCTCACAAGAGAAGTGTTTGTTTCATTTTGAGTTTGTGATAAATACAAGCGAGAGGTAAGACAACAAGACAAAGGAGGAATCCTCGCCCTGCAGAAACCAGCAATTCAGAGCTGGTCGCCTCGAAGGTCCTTCASGAAAGATCTGTGCACATGGATGAAAATAGGTGTTCTTGGGAGAGGAATGCTTCTACAGTCTCATCTTGTGATTTAGCTTTTCAAGTGTCATTAGTTGTCATTAATTGCCTGGGAGAATGCACACCCAAAAAGCCATTTAGCAGGAAGCTGCACAGATGAGGGGTCTGGAGCTGTGTGACTCCCTCCCACTTGTTTTCATGGTCCTTCAGCCATGGCTTGACTGTCTCCAGCAGCAATGGGATAGCTCACAGGTATCAGKCTCTCTGCCCAGAGCATTTGTAGAAAAGCTGCTCCCTTTGGATTTGAGGGGCYATTTGGAGAGGTGTCCTACTTGTGGGCATTCTCAGAGAGGCCCCAGCTCTTCTGGCGTTGATCAGGAATGACTGCAAAGGGAACTTCATTAGAACTCACAGCTGGTTGGAGAAATCTCACTGAGCAGGGATGGTCTGGTGCTTCAGGGTTAATTTCTGCTCTTACTTAGCAAAATGACAGAAGCAGAGCTAAAGTGTGGGTGACAAACAAAGGCATGGCATGAGCTCCCCAGCCCCTGTGTTTTAATCGCTTCTAACAACTGGCTAAATGTTCTGTTTGCCTGCAAGATCAAATGTTTTCTTTTGTGCTGTTTTTCTGAAGATGAATATGAAATGAATAGACTCCTGACCTCCCCCAGCACTCCTGATAGCGCTTCCCTTCCCCCTCCTCCCCAGCTGATCCCGATAACTCCCAGCCAGAAACTTGCTTGGTGTAAACTGCGAGGAAAAGTGTGTGGAGGAGTCAGTGCTCAAGAAGAAATAGGGCTGTGAAAAACAGAACAGCTTTGTTTGAAAGGGGGAGGAAAGTATGCGTAGAAAACTAAGACAGTTCAACTGCAGGAATGAGAGAAGAGCTCTCCTGGATTTATGAAGTGATGAGTGGCTGGTAAAAATGTGCATGCTCTAAAAACAATTAAACCCCACAGATGACTGAGTGGTCTTTGTGCTCATTAACTTCTTGAGCTTTGCAATCTTGCACCTGCAAGATTTTTAATGTCAACTGGAGAGCAAGAAAACTTGTACAACTTTAGATTAGCCGACAAGGCTTTCATCACTTACAATATTACTTTCTTGAAGAACTGACCTGGAGTTCAGACAGCTTGTTTTCACTTTGCAGAGGTCAAACTCCACCATGCATTTTACAAATAACTTTGAAGTAAACAAACACACATGCCAAAATAAGGTATTATTCAGTGAAAAAGGTTCTATTTCTGTTCTATTCAGAGATGGCTTGCTGGCTGTGCTCTTATTCTTTGTGCTGCACAATGCCAGAGCACGCTGAAGCTTCCCGAAACACTTCTGTCCCACTTCTAAGTGCTTCTGCAATATGTGGTTTCTTTGAAGCCGGGGTATTGCTGTGAGATGTGTTCCCAAGAGGCTGTTCTGGCTRTTGGCAGGCGTGGGATGGTCTGGAGGTTCRTGCAGACACCACAGCCCTCCACGCYTTCCCTCTTCRCTCCAACCTGGTCCTTCCYCATGGCTTTCCCATGKTGCATATGTGGGATATTAGTCCTGATGGCACCCTCTTTAGCAGGAGGACCCTCTTCTGCACCCACAAAATCTCCATCAGGCAGTTTCCCAGGAGATTTTGGGGAGGTTTGTGTTCCCTGTGCATCAGTGTGTCCTGTCCCACTCATTTCTGTCACTGGCTTCACTGCAAATTCCCGGSCTCATCAAACCACCTCGGCTGTCAGAACAGGCTGGTGGTGAACTGAATCACCCAGAGAGGGTTTTTTCCTACAAGTATCTGTAGATTRTGGACTCTCCATCCCAGGGCCAGTCTGGATGGGGCTCTGAGTAATGTGGTCTAGTGGCAGGTGTTCCTCTCCRTGGCAGAGGAATGGGACTGGATGAGTTCTGAGGTCATTTCCACCCAAACCATTCTGTGGGTCTATGATTCTACATTTGTGACTGAGACATTTTCCTCTTTATTTTTGGTACCAGCAGACTTCACACAGTTTTGATGACCTTTTAAAATTCTCTTACAAAATGTTAGAACTCTGAAGTTACTTTAATAAGCTTCATGCCTTCACTGTACAGTCCATGTGATCTCTGTCCTGCAGGTTCAGTGAAGAGGGGATGGAGGTGATGGAGCGGTTGATCTACCTCTTTCGCAAATTCAACCAGCTGAAGGTCAGCAATGAGGAGTACGCCTGCATGAAAGCCATCAACTTCCTAAACCAAGGTGAGTCAGCARAGAGAAGGTACCAGCCCCATTGTTCATTTTTGTGCTTCAAAGTGTAAATTTGTCACACCAGTCCTCCCTATTTTAGAGCTTTTCTGACTCATTAAGATATTTGCCTTCAGGATATATCCTTAGCTGGGTTCCTGCTTTCTAGGTTCTACACCTAAATCTGACTCTTCAGAGTGAAAGGTAATCATAAATGAAGTATTTACATGTAGGCCATGAATTGAGCCTAGGAAAGGGCTGTATCCTCCTGTTGATTAAGCAACATATTAAAGCTGGCAGTTCAGGCTGCTTTAAAATGCATGCAGAGGCAAATGCTCAGGGAATAGTGTTCAGCTGTAATTTTAGTAATAAATGTCCCCAAAGTCTTTTGTACTGTGAAAGATAGTTGCAGTCTGTAAAAATGTGCTACAGGCTCCCTCCTCCCCCACTCATTTCCAGAGGGAGATAATGCTGACACTTCAATCTGTGCCGGGCTGAGGTTCCGGTTTGCTTCCCTGGGCAGTTTCCTGACACTGGATAATSCACTTCTCGAGCTGTCTCCATTGTTTTCCAAAATGTATTTTCATTAACTTCCTGTCTTCTTTTATTTTTAGTTGAAGTTTGCAATTTTTTATGTGAAATACCTGAGACTTATTTTTAAAAGTCAGCTTTTAGGCAGTAGATCAATGCCTCTTCCTCAGCCTGCTCCAAGGCTCTGCAGCTTCCTCRCTCCTGTGCTGGATCCTCCCCAGGACCCGGCAGTGCCAATGCCACTGGTCACGCTGCCAGTGGGACTTCCTGCCTGTCCATTTTTCCTTTGTGTGTGTTGCCTGACATTGGTAAAACTAAATTTAAAAATAAGAACTTGACAAGTTTATAAAGCTCCTGTGACATAATTCATAAGCAGATGGGGAGAAACRTGGTGATACCTTGAATTATGGAGCTGAGTGCTGTCCTCAGCCAAGATGATACAGCTAAAACCAAAGGGCTTTGGTTGTCACATCTGAGGAGGTGTGACACTGATCTGCTGTGAGGAATAAACCCTGACACTCAGCAGGGATTTCGGGTTGCTGGGGCTGTTTTCTCCAAGAGCATTCATTGAGCTGCAGATGGGCGGTGTAGGATATTGGTTGTTCTCTTCCCAGTGTTTTGTGGAGRGAAATCCAGGATCCAGCCATGCATGTTAAAACACATCCATGATGCAGGCACAGCAGGRGGAGAGATGGGAATTTGAGTATTGGTCTAACTGGGTGCTGGAAGTCAGTCTCCAAAGCAGGGACCCAGATCAGARTGACACAAGTCAGTCTGTCCTGAAGGAGTGGCACTAAGTGCAAGGCTGCTGCTCTTCTGAGATGTTTGTGTCATGTATTCATTACTCTAATTATGTTCTTTTCCAGATATCAGGGGTCTGACCAACGCATCCCAATTGGAGCAGCTGAATAAGCGGTACTGGTATGTTTGCCAGGACTTCACRGAGTACAAATACCCCCACCAGCCAAACCGCTTCCCTGATTTAATGATGTGTTTGCCAGAGATACGCTATATTGCAGGTAATTTCCTGAGCACTTCTCCCACTGGGAGCAAGTTACAAAATTTGCTTTTGAAAGATAATTARCTCTCAGCAGTGAAATTCTTGTGGACTTTGGTTGAGGATGTTTGCGTGGGACCTTTTTCTGTCAGAGCTTCTGCCCACGTTTAAGCCCATCGTGTTGCCCTGAGCTCACCCAGTCAGAGGGACTCTTGGCGAGGTGTTCTGGTGATGCTGGTGGGCACAGGGTTAGTCTGCTTGCTCTGACCTGGCACCTTTTAAGTACATTGTTGAGTCTCTCCTTGTCTTCTTTCACTCCCAGCTGGGTTGCATTTTGTCTCAAAAGGTTGTAATCCTGGTTTGAGTAGTCATCTCATGAAAGTTAGACAGACCCCTGAATTAAGCAGAAGGTGATCAGCAGAGTCAGGCAGACCAGTGTGACACCCAGATTTCCGYTTGTCTGGACCTCGGAAATCCGCAGGTGAATTCTCAACTGCAGTTGTGTCGCTAATTAGATCTCCAAGGTCTGGTGCTACTAAAACTGTTTGTTCCTGAATGTTATGGCAGAGGGAGATGCTTGCCTCCCTGTGTCAAGGCTCCGTATGCTTCATCCCACTCSGTCCTAATGAACTAGATCATAATCTCTGGGTAGCTCTCGTAATTTACTCGTGGAGATCAACAAGGGAGTTTGAGGTGAGATGGGATTTGGTCTTTCCCAGTTTCTATAAATACTGCTCCATTGTGGAGAAATCATTTTGATCTGACTTTGCCCATTTATTTTGCTTTCTATTCATTAAATAATAAATCACATTGTGTCCAAATGAATATCAAATGTCTAATGTAGCTGTAGGATGATTAACTGTTTCTGTGAGAAGTTCAAGGTAAAACCATCTCCAGTGCCGCCGGCTTAGGTGTCTCTGAAATCTGATTCAGGAGTGGCTGCTAATTCTGGTTTTTTTCTTACCAGGAAAAATGGTGAATGTCCCCCTGGAGCAGCTGCCTCTCCTTTTTAAGGCCGTTCTACATTCCTGCAAGACGAGCGTGAGCAAAGAGTGAGCACAGCAGGYCCCGGCCGGTGCCTTACGCTGAGCCTGGGCTGGGAGCTGGCTCACCCTGGGAGAGGGGCAAACGCCATCCAGGCAGGAGATGGGGCAATGGGCCTCCCTGCCCTTGTAGCAAGAATCTTTTTTGTTTGTTTTTTTTTTTTTTTTACTCTTTTTCCTATATATTTATTTCACGACAGAGTTGAATGTATGATCTTCAACACGATGCACATGGTTCTGTAAGAATGCAGCAGATGCATTCTCCAGCGGTTTACAGAATGTGAAGATGTTTAATGTTACAGTGTTTGTTAGGGTTAGTTCTTTTGTATTTGGGGCTGGGGACCGAGATGACTAAGACTACCTCAAGGAGAAGATGCTGTTCATGCACTGCTCTTTCCATGACTTGCATCCAAAAGCATTTTTCATGGAGAGCAAATGTCAGCAGAGCTGTTAGGATCCCAAAGGGACGACTTTGGAGAAGTGGGTGCTAGAGAAGTGCCAAGCTTTTTCTTTAATTTAAAAAAAGCAGGGAGTGGAGAAGTCTGTCTAGGCAGTTGGTTTCTTTTCCCCTGGCAGTTTCCAGATGCAGGTTTCCCRGTGGGGTGGCAGTGCTCTGAGGGGCTCACTGCTCCTGTCCCCTCTGGGGRCCTTCAGGCGGGGTCTGCCCTAGCCACTCCTGGCCAGCTGCCCTCTTACTATTGCCACAACACCTTCCAGCTTCTCTGAAATTGTGTTCCTGCAGTCCTGGCATTACACAAAGGTGTTCCTGTTGCTAGAGAACTGCAAGGACTTTATCATGACTTCCTTAACATCCATTTTAGATTTACAAAAGCAGGAAAAACCTACTTAGAGAAGAGGCACRATTGCCCCCATTAGTGTGTTCCTCCAACATGGTATCTGGCTCCTGAGGCTTCTGCATTGCAGCAGTCCCTGTTTTGGGAGCAGTTCATGTACCCTGTGTTGAATGGGCCCTGTGTAATGGAGTGAGGGACTCCAGTGTCCTCTGGCATGGCTTTCTCTGCTGGACTCAGGGAATGGGTGTTCCATATCCTGCCAGGACTGTCTTGTTCCTTGTGGATCACAGAAAAAGGAACATTACTGCCATACTTGGTGACCTGCTGTGTTCTAGGTGTTGCAAGGCTTGGATTTTCCATCTCGCCAGCTCCCCACCACTCCACACAGAGAACTGGTTTAGTGACTACTGATGAGCTGATTGAGTGATTGCTAAGTGCTGCTGTTCAGCTAAACCTGGGCATTCTCATGAGTGACCTCACTGTTTGCTTCTTGTGGTGGAGAGGTTGGATGAGATGTTCTTGTTCTCATGTTCTTAATTAGGAATTAATATTCCAAGATTCAGTCACCCTTTAGTCAGCCTTGGCTGGATTTCCTTCCCTGTCTCCTTAGATAAAAATCGGGCATTCACTTAGCACGGTGGCTCATTGATAAGTGTTTGAATGCTGATTTAAAGATATTTGGGGAAACAGCTTTTGTTCCTTCAGGGTAGGAGGSACGAGTCACTACCTTCTTGTCTTTCCCTGATGACAGTTGCGTGGCACAGAGCGAGCACAGCTCAGCAGGGCTGCAGCTGCTGTACATGAATGTGATGGTGAGCAGGAGAAAAATCCCATTCACCGAAGTCGTCTTTCCSTCCCTCCCTCTCCCTGGCCCGGCGGGTGCTCCCGGGATTGCAGCCCGAGGGAGGTGTGACCCGCTGCTTTGGCACATCCCGGTCACACACACCGGGGCCCTGCTGCTGCCTCACTGCAGGCATCCCACTTGGGCATCTCCCAGCTCCACGGTTTCCCTTTTCTAGAAGTCCATAGCTGTTCATTTTTCATTATTTAAACAGGATGTTACGGGTAACAGCTGCTGCGCCCAGCAGYGGCTCAGCTCGATGGAGCTTCACATCCAAAGGTGGTTCCATAAATCTCATTTACTTTCTGACAGTACAATGAGATGTGTGTATTCTCAGGAAAGCCTTCTGCATACAGCCGTTACCTCACATGTTCAGGGGAAGATTTTAGTGTACCTGTTTGTAAGTTAGAATGTATTTTTCAGCTTTTAAGTTCGATTTCCAAATAGCTTGATGTGATCTTTTTATTACGGGTTATTTCTGGCTTGCTGTTTTATACACTCAAGGAATTTTAAAATTGCATAGGAGTAATTTTATTCTACGGTTACTGAATTATTATAATCTGTTGATGAATAAGTGTTTTAATTAGTGTACATAAAAGCAGTCATCTTGTCGTCAGCTATCCAACAGAAATTATCTATTGGATAATCTGTGCTTTTCCAAAATAGCCTCCTAAAACTAATGCTGTTCCAGCAACCACCAAAATCCTAAATTCAGTTATGATGACAAACGGACATGAATGTTCTACTTTCTGTTGTAGAAAGCAAATTTTACAAAGGTTGATTGGCAGCAGTATCCGTTCCCAAATACCCATTTGCTGTAGGGAGTAGAAAATCCTTCCTGAACTGACAGGTAAGGAAGCAGCAAACAGACCAGACAGAATCACCGGTCATTCCTGGTATCTTCTGCACCAAGTCCTCTAATGACTTGTATTTTTTAAACAGGGTAAAGTGAATGTGTTGCATTGCAAACTCAGGTATTATGAGAAGGTAGGAATGTAGCTAGAGACGTAGAGACTTTAGGTAGATGTATTTGTGAATTTGGTTTGAAGGACACCCTGGAAAGGTTGAAATTTGTGTTCCATTCTTCATGTAACATTCGGTTTACAGGGACTCATATTTTATTTGTGCTTAATGTTAGTAGGGGGAAGTTCATTATCTTTGGTATCTATCTGCTCTTGCTTATCTGACCTTCTGTCATAGAGAAATCAATCAACAATAATAGACTTTGGTAGAATTTTCTGCCATGACAAGTCAATTTTTATCTCCGATTTGAAAGATAAATTGGCTGGCTGACCCCCTCCTCTCCTTCAAAGCATCAATGCAGATAGAAAGCTGAAGAGTTACCTTTAATCTGAGCAGAGATTTGGGACATAAAYTTGAAGCACTCAGGCCTCACGTGCTCAGGGGTGGCTGCTGAGGAGCCCTCGCTCTGTGGTGCTGCTGGAAGGGGTCCCCAGTAAGGAGGCTCAGTCCCAGTGTCAGTGCCAGAGCCTGGGGCCTCAACAAAACACTGGAAAGTGAGTGAGTTTACTTTCACTATAGCTCAGCTTTCTGCCAGCTGGGCTGAGCCTTGACCCCTCAGTGTGGGTCAGTAGCCAGTCCCTCTCCTCGGCATGTCCAGCCCCGTGACAGGGCAGGGGGATGAGGGACAGCCAGGATGCTCAGGGGTGCCAGGTCCTGACACWGCTGGGCTCTGGGCATGGCAGAGCTGCTGCAGCCGGGCCTGGTGCTCCCTGTGCTTCCCTTGTGTGAGCTGTGCCAGTGCCCTTCCTGTTCTCACTTCTGCAGAGGCACTGAGAGCTTTGGGTCATCAGGGAGCAGCTCTGGATTCTTCTGTMATTCTTCAATCCAGAGATGTGATTCTTAACCCTTTGGCCATCTCCCATCACACGCAGGCCAAAGGAGGAGCACRGCATTTTCAGAGTGACCAGTGGTCAGTGACGTGGCCAACTCCCTGCCCAGGGGAGGTGCCACCCCAGTAGTACCCACTTTCCCAGTGCTGGGGTGTGGCTGTGAGGGAGTCTGTGGCACTGAGGGGTCCCAGGGGTGCCAGCAGGGTTCCTGGGCTGCTCTCACTTGCAGGTGGAGGCCTTGGTGGCTCTGTCCCCACCCATGCAAAGGCTTGAGTGCCTCTTGCTGCCGTTCCTCCCTGTGCCAGCAGCATCTGTCCTTACTCCCAGGCTTCTGCACAGACCCACAGCCACCTCAGGTAAAGGAGTTTAAGTCTTGTCCTTCAAACCAACTTTAAAAAAAAAAAAAACAAACTTGAATTTCTTTTTTCTTAACTACATTTTTTAAAAGGAAAAAAAAAGAAAAAAAAAAAAGATTCTCCTGTGAATGTGCTATTTCCCATTCATTCTTTCTTCCTTCTTGGTTTTGATTTAAAGCTATGAAGCTCGGTGTCTGTGAAAATGTTGTTATTTCTCAGGATAATAAGCGGCAATCATCCCTGCCACATGAAAGGCAGGAGAAAGGGGGAAACTTGGGKAACTAGTTTAAGTATGAAACTAATTTTTAAGTTGTAGATGATGTGTAAATGGAGGGGAGTGCATAGCTATCAGTATCAAGCTGTGGTGTTTCTCTGGGTTCACGGTGTGTTGTTTCAACGCACAGAAGCTCAGGGATAAGTATTTAAAATGTGACCCAGAGAAATCCTAGTTTTGATGTTGCAACAGTTGCTTCTTTCACRACTTGTCTGGAGGATCTGTTGAGAGCTGACTAAAGCCCCATATGGGGATTTTGGGGGAAAACCTTGGGTTTGCCTGCTGAAAGCTCAGATGTGGTCCAGTGGGCAGAGCATCCCAAAGCTGTGGGGGCTGTATGAGGCTGTGCCCTTGCAGCACCTGGAGCTGGGGCAKCTCTGCYTGTGGGGCTCACAGAGGGCTGTGGAGAGCAGGGRAYAGCAGGGGCTSGGCAGGGCAGTGGGGAGCCCCATARYCCCTGTGCCCACCAGTGCCCAGCCCTCCTTGTGCCCATTGGGCAGGGTAATGGGGAATTGAAAAATATCATTATTTCTGGTGTTTTGCATTCCCCCTGAAACACATCAGCTGCTGAGGCTGGGGGAGGTTGCTTTCTATTTCTGCATTACCTCATCCTTCTGCCTTTGGTGTTCAATGTGTTTAAGTGTTTGTGGAGAAGGCAAAACAGGAATTTCTCATTGTGTCCCTGACAGCCAGTACCAGGGCTCTCTACTCTGTTGCTTATGAATTCTTAATTTTCATCAGTATAACTTTCTCACTATGGTTGTAGGCACAGTCAGACAGTTTGAGAAAGGCCCTGATGTGTGACTCTGGTTGGGTTACAGCTGCTATGAGTGTCCAAATGGCCCCATCCAGCCACAAACAGGGCCAGCACTGAGTGAGAGTCAGAAAAAGTTTGCAGGGCTGAAACCCCCTCCCAACACCSTCAGCCAGGATCTGTAAATCTGAGTTTAAACCAGCCCTGCAAAAAGCTGGGGAGGTCAATCTGGGCAGTGTTTTCTTTCCCTTGGAAAAAAAATTAAAAATAGCTCCTSTGAGCTGCCCTCTGACAAGTGTGTGAAAGAAGCAACATGGTTCAGTGGAAGAAATGCCCCCAAGGGCAAAAAGAAACAGAAATTGAGACCAGATGACGATCAACCTTAACAAAGCCTTTTGTGATTCATTGTTCTCTTTCAATTTATAAAATGTCTTGTAATAGTTGATAACATTATTGACTCAATTTCCATAACTAAACTACCTCGTGTGACATCCTGTTTATCATCTCAAAGGGATTGTGTGAAAAACTAAATACTGCCAGTGTGTGTTGCCAGCGAGGAGCAGGGGCTCTGATTGCTGGAGTTGTGTTTCCCTTCCCGTGGGCTCCTGTCACTGCCCTGTGTCCCATGCCTGAGGCTGAGCTCTGGTGTCCCTCCCTGGGGAGGATGTAGCTCATGTCACTTTGGTTCTGTTGGTGYCCATCAAGCCTCAGGCCTGGTTCCAGCACAGTCCTGGTTGCATTTTTAGCCTGAGACCTCACAGGACCTCGCAGTTCCTCGTGTGTCCGTCCYGGGCAGCGTGAGGAGACAAGTGGGTCACGTTTGCTGCTTGTATGGGCCCTTGCTGGCTTGAGGGATGTTTCCAAGGGGTGAGTCCCGGCTGCTGGCTCCTTCTTGGTGGTTCCAAGCGTTGGTTTCTCCAGTTCATTTTTCCCACAATCCCTTGTGTAAATCAGGGAAGCAGGATGTTGCCTCGGCATGACACACGGTGAACATTGGCACACTCGGAGCCGGGGCTGGGGCAGGAGGGTGTGTCTGGCCCCCACTGCACCCATGAGGAGTGGGCACTGGGAGCTGCTCCTCCTCACCACGCTATGACCAATGAATGTTTGTGCCAGCGCGTCGGTGGCACCGCTGGTCCCTTGTGCAGCGGGACTGGCACGGGTCCGTGACAGCCTGACCCACCCCTGCTCCACGGCTCTGCTCTGGGACTTGACTACCTGTGGAAATGTGACCAATAAGTGTTGAATGCATGTTTAGTGAGTGTTTAGCTGTATGAACTAATAAATRTGAAATGTTCTGCACCGCTGGTGTCTCCTGGCTCCTTGTGTCTTCCCKTTTCGGTGGTGGCTCTTGGGGTGGGGGAGCCCAGCGCTGGTCTGGAGGAGGAGTAATCCAAACAAGCAAATGCACCACAACTGCCTGACCAGTGCGCTCTGGAGAGAGGAGCTGCAGGAATTGTTTAGCAATCCCTTGTCCTGCTGAGGTGGGTGTGTGCTAAAGGCCTGAGCAGCACTTTCTGTATTTATGCTGCTGTGCCTGGGAGTGCATGGGAGTGCACAGGAGACTCACTCAGGCACTGCTGCCACAAAGGCAGCTCCAAAGTGAGCAGACAGCCCTGCTCTGCTGCTCCCTCCTGCAGGGCCTTGCGCTGCCCCGCTCTTCAGCCGAGTGCTCTCGTGCCTCCTGTCCTCTCCTTGTGTTAGTTTTCCTTGTTTACATTGTTCTCCTGTGCAGAGCAGCTCCAGCAGCTCTGACACTGTGCCACCCAGCATTTACTCCCCAGGAGGGGTCCCTGAAGGTCAGCAGTGGTGGGTCCCTGGTAGGTGGCAGAGGATGCTCTGGGCACATGGGGTGATGGGTTTGTCCTCAGCTTCAAATGAAGCTGGAGCTGCCCAGAGATAACACAGCCTTTCCCCGACCCCGTGCTGACATGAAGCACTGCCTGGAAAGTGAGGTTGGAGTGGGAAAAGTACCAGCACATTTTAATTTTCAGCTCCTACTGACCACCATATTTTGATTAGAGCTCTGCTTCCTTTTCATCTGAGTGCTCCAGCGGGTGACAACTGCCACAGCCTCGTGTGCACGGCGCAATAGTTTATCACCGAAGGCCAGCGGCTCTATGAATTCAGAGCTAGTGCGGAACAAATCACACTGTCACTAACGTCACACTTGTTAACCTGATCTTTGGTGGATCACTAGTGTCAACATTGCACGGGACATACATTATCGGGCCCAAGGACTTAGGGAGATGCGTTTGTCAGGCTGCTCTGTCACAGTCCCACTCTTGACCTTCGCAAAGTAACTTTCAAGGGTAAGCTGCCTTTCCTCTTGACAGGAGTGGCTCTTCCCAGGAGTGTGTCACCCCGTGGGCACTGGCTGGGACAGGGCTGTGGGGTCAGCTGGGTCACCTCCCTGCAGCAGGAGGGAGGACCTGTGGGGAGGGTCCTGTGGGGCCTCTTCCAGAGTTGGGGAAGGTTCTCCATCGATGTCCACCCTGCCCATGTCGATTCCATGAGCTTCTCCCCATCTTGTCGCCAGCTGCTCCCACATCTCTCCTCATCTCTTGCCCAGTTGCTGTCCTTTTGGAGTTCACACCTGCAAACCAGCATTCTAAATGCTGCAGACTGGTGGGTTGCCATTGTGTGGTCCATCACCAGGCTTTCACATCTCAGTTTGTGAAGTGTGGATGTTTCTGATGGGGTTGGTTGCCACTGCACTGGTCAGATGAAGGATGGGTCGCCGTGGCTGGGCTGGTAAGAGCATTGAGAGGAGGTGTGTGCTCCAGGTAAGCTCCTGGCTGAGCTGCTGTGGTCAGCTGGGTTTTGTGGGACCTTTATTGGGGTGGTGGATCCCCTCCCTGCAGCCTGCCACGAGTAAGAGTGGAATGGTGCCATAGGCTGGTGTGGGGCACCCTGTGGGGCTGGGWGCTGGGAGGCCAGCAGGTTGGGGCTGTGCTGGAGAGGATGTGGCTCATGGCTGAGGGGACCCCAAGCTGAGTGCTGGGTCTGTGCTTCACGTCGCTGTCCTGTGGGCCGACCCTGCTAATCAGCTGTGAAAGAGAGAGAGAAAGCTGGAGAGAAATCTTTCTCTCTGCTAACCTCATCACAATAAAGATTCCTATAAAGAGCTCTTATCCTTGAAGAAAATGAGGCACATAAGCAGGAATAGTAAACAAAAGGCTGTCATTTTGACCCAGGAGTGCTTCATGTTGTTGGCAACTGCCAAGAGGAAACATAAAGAGAGGCTGCATCCAAGTCCCAATTATGCATAACTATGTGACTGATATGTCAATGAGTCCCCCCGGGAGGAGACCACCAGCGCTTCCCGGTGCTGCCTGCGCAGCATCTGCACCCGCCGCCACGGCCGGGCCGCCCGCGCCCCGAGCGAAGGCGTGTGTGGCATCGGAAGAATGCGGGGGACAAGGTAATGTCATCGGGAACGCTATCGCCCAAGTCCTCGCCACACGCGCATTATCGGCGCGGGCCCCGGAGTCAGGGACTGCGGGCAGGCGGCGGCGTTTGGCAAACAGTAGTGCGGGCCACACCTGCTGCAGGCACGCTCCGGGAACGTGGCGCAGGCAGGAGGGCTGCCCCGCGCCGATAAGCTGAGTGGATGGAGATAAAATCCGAGCAGGAGATACGCCTTGCTGAGCATCAAGGCTAAGCGCTCGCAAGGAGCCAAAGCACGCCGTGGCCCACAGCGGGTGGTGTGGGTCTGCGGGCTGCGGCTGCAGCATGGCCGTGTGGGGAGGAGAAGGGGCAGAGCAGTCTCCAAACCAACAGCTGGAGCGTTAGTGGTAGATGTGCCAGTGCTTGGGCCCATGGAGGGCACAGAACTCTGCTGCTCCCTTGGCAGAGTTGGCTTGCTCCAGTGACATCAGGGCAGCAGCTGTGGGGCCTGAGCCCAGCCCTGAACATCCCCTCCCCAGCACCGGAAGCCAAAGCCACTTCATCCTTCTGTCCTATGTGCTGTGGCCTCCAAAATGTCACCCATCAGTACTCCTCCCTATGCTCAGAGACCCTTGAGGCCGCTGGGAGCCAGCTCTACCCAGTGCCGGTGCAGCCATTCCAGCGCCGTTTCCCAAATCCGCCCTCACGCCATGGGCCCTGCTGGCCTGCACCAGCCCTGCACCGGCCCTGCCGATGGCCGCACGCCCTGCAGGAGCCAGGCCACAGCCTTGGCCAGGGCCCGTGCAGAGGAAAGTGCCCAAGGCCAGCGGGGACGTATTTACCCCCGAAAGCACCTTGCTGCAAAAATAGCAAGTGGCCGGTGTGAGGCCGGGGCTTCCCAGGGGAACAATGGCTGGCAGGAGGAAGCGGCCGCGGCCGGCCCGCAGCTCSGTCCCGCCTCGTGCGGCGCTGAGCCGCGAGCCGCTGTGTGCCGGCCCGGCAGGGACCTTGAACCTGACACAGATTTATTTTCTCTGACATTGGCATCGCGTCGGAACATCTGGCATGTGGCTGATAATTGCTGGAGATCGGGGCGGAAGCCACTCCGGGCCTGGCGCTTCTTCCAGAGCTGTGTTTTCATTAGTTTTTCTCCTCTCTTCAGCTGCAGAGCAAGGAAAAAACAAGCAGGGCTTTGCAGCCTGTGCTCCCACTCCTCTCCTCACAGCACCAGGGGCTCGCTGCTTCCCTCACGCTGCAGTGCACGTCACTGTTGCACCATGTCAGGGCTGTGGTGATACAGAGGGAGTACGAGCCTTTCTTTCCCTGAGCCCAGGRCTGTGGGTGCTGCTGTGCCACCCTGGTTACCGGCAGAGCCAGAGCCTTCAGTGTGCTGCTGTGGGGCTCACGGCCATTGCAGACACCTTTTCTTGAGGCTGTCGTCGCTGTGGGCTGAAGCAGAGAGCTCGACACTGTGCAAATGTGGGGAGACACCGTGGTGATGGACGGCCGGAGTGTGGGGCCGGCAGTGGGAGCAGATCCCTGCTCTGGCAGGAGAGGAGGGTCTCTCATGCAGCCTCTCGCCTCGGCGTTGCAGTTCCTGTGGCACACAGGGCAGCTGGACCCCAAGCTCTGCCGGCACAGTGCCCGTGGGTAGGTCTGAGTGTGGCCATGGAACATGGGGAATCACACAAGCAAACACAGCCATGGCTCGGCTGCCGAGGCCCTGGGGCWCTGGCTTTCTGTGAGCGCTGTTCCAGCACACGAAGAGCCACYGGCTGCAGACTCTGGGAGCCTCAGGAACTGGGGAGTGGGCCCTGAGCATGGAGGAGCCTCCTCCCTCCCTCTCCTGCGGAGGAGATCTCTCAGGGCTGAGGAGGCCCTGGCTGCATCCTGGTGCTGGTGGGTGAGGTGGGCTCACGTTCCTCCCAGAAGTGTCGTGCCCCATGCCCTCGGCCCCCTCCCTCCTGCCCTGGGCCGTAAATCAGGGTGGCTGTGGGTGCTGGGGCACTCTGGTGCCCCCCACCTCCCTGCAGGGTCTCCCTCCCGGGGCACCTTATCTGCTACAGGGGTCCCACTTATCTTTGCTGTCACTTTCTAATGCTAGTTTATGGGCAGCGTTTTGTAGCTTAATTATGATGTTTTTCAGCACGGTCACGTGGCCTCAGAAGCCAATAAGGCACCGAAGTGGGTCCATCCTGGCTGAGCCTGGCCCCCATGGGGAGGAGATTGGCCGGTGTCCTGCCTGGGGCGGTGTGTGCGCGGCCAGAGCCCCGACACCTTCCCAACGGACACGGGTCCCCATAAATCGCCCAGGCTGCCGTGGACAGGGCGGCAGTGCCCACACCCCACGGAGGCTCCTCGGGTCGCAGCTCCTGGCTGGTGGCCGAGCGAGAAGCTCTCCCAGCCGCCGGCCCCACGCGCAGCAGCCGTGCAGCCGCCTCGCGGTGAGTACGTGTCCGTGGGGGGAACCGCGCTCCCCATCCCACCCATGTCCCGGCCACTGCCGCCATTCCCCGGCTTGGTGGCGGCCAAGGCCAGAGCTGGGGACGCAGYAGGGCTCGACGAGGAAGCAGGAGTCGTGTGTGGGCCTCCGCTTCCCGTCCCCGTCAGCGGGCGTGGGGATGGCGGCTCTGCGGATCGTGGGCAGCAGAGMGAGGCCTCACCATAGCCTTGGCCCCGCGACCAAGCCGCTGCTCTGAAATGACAGATCCGCCTGCTGAGGGGCTCAGGGGCCCAGCTGGTGGTGGCTGGGGGTCCCCGGTCACCCAAGAGTTGGAATTTGTCCCCACCCTCTGGAGCAGGCATGGGAGGCATCCAGGACCCCTTGACTCGTGGGGTAGACTGAGCCTGTGTCCTGTCCCCATCCCACTCTGGCAGGGATCACAGCCTTCGGCTCCAACTCTCTTCTCTTCCTCGCAGAGTTTGCTCAGTTCTCCCAAGCCAGAGCCCCTCGTGGGCTCCTCTTCCCGGATGGCAGGTCCTGCTGCATGGCTGTCCCACACTTCCCCGGGGGGCTTGTGGCAAGTGTGGGGCCATGGCCGAGGGGCTCTGCCGGTGGTGGGAGCTCCTTCCTGGCCGAACAGYGGCTGACCCTCACTGCGGGCTGCTCTGCTGCTATTCTTAGCCCGGCTCCATTCCTGGTGGCTCTGGAGTGATGCTCCGCTGAGCCCATTTCCTGTTTGCTGCTCTCCCTGCCAGTGCTGCTTCCTACTCACTGCACCCGTGGGCAGCTGGTTTGTGGGGTGAGAGTGTTTGATGAGATGTGTGGGATGAGCCCTTCAAGAAAGCCATGCAGGATCAGCAGTGTGGGGCTTCAGACCCCCAGAGCCTCRGGTCCCRGTGCTGCTGTGCTGGCTCCTGCCAYGCTGGSACAGGCYTGGCACYGGTCACCAATGGTCCCTGACACAGCRGGTCAGYCCTGCAGGTTGGGCTCAGMTCCAGTGCCAGGCTCAGGGCTGGAGCCTCAAGCTCCCCATAGCTGAGTCCTGGGCTGTGGTGTGTGGCCTGGGAGTGTCCTACAAACAGGATGTGCCAGGAGCCAGGGTGCTCCTGTGCGGGTGTGCTGCCATCACGGAACATTTCATCCCCAGTGGTGAAGCACTGATTGAATACCTGCTGTCTGACAGGCACACACACCGTTGAGAGTGGGTGCTCCAGGCAGGGTGGCCAGGGCTAGGTGCAAACTGTCACCTCCTCAGTGGTGGCTCCAGGGGAGATGTTAGGAGCTGCTGCACACCCCAGTGTTCCCCAYGAAGCTCTCCCTGGGCTGGCAGGGGCAGCTGCTGTAGGGTAACTGTGTGTTCTGACAAAGCTGCTGGTCCAGGGCTGCACGGAGCAGAGCAGGCTCGAGCTCAGACATGGCCAATTTTGCTCCAGTCCCGAGACTCCTGTTCCCAGCAGGTCCTGCCGCTTTCAGGCCAGACACCCTGGAGAGGCTGCGGGACTTGATCCCCACAGATGGTGCAGGGGACAAGGAGGGTGTCGCTCCCCTTCCCGCAGAGCGGTGCCCCTTGCCTGTCCCTGGGGGAGTCCCTGGGGGGATCCCCGATGTCGCCGAGGCCTGGCCGAGCCGCTCACCAGCCCGGCCGCCGCATCCCCGGTGCCCGTGCCGGCGGGTCCCTCCGCCCCCGCCCCGTCCCCGCCGCCGCTCGCCGCTCGCTCTCCCAGAGGAGGTTCCCCAGCCCCGGGGGGCTGGCCGTGAGCCCGCACCAACATGGAGATGCTCTTCCAGGCGCTATAAAGAGCTCCGGCTCCCACACCTGCCGCTCGGTCTCCACCGCCCCCACTCCCGCTCCGCACCCAACGCCGGGGCTGGGACCGTCGTCCGTCCCCTTCCCCGTCCCATCCCGTCCCGCTGACCGCGGCTCGTCCCGCAGCAGGGCCGCTGGAGGGGATGGACTATTCCTATGATGAGGACCTGGACGAGCTCTGTCCGGTCTGCGGGGACAAGGTCTCCGGGTACCACTACGGGCTGCTCACCTGCGAGAGCTGCAAGGTAGGGTCAGCMGGGACGCTCGGGGTCGGGGCTGCGGGGCCGGGGCCGTGCGGGGCCGGGGGAACGCAGCTGGGGCCGTGCGGGGTCGGGGAAACGGGGCCGGGGCTGTGCGGGGACCGCTGCCCGGGGAAGAGGGGTCCGGAGCTGTGTAGGGAGCGGGGAGGGGACTCTGYAGGGGCCGGGGTAACGGGGCCGGCTGCGGGGCTTCTCTCGCCCGTTTTCGTTAGCGGCGGATTCGCGCCCGGCGGCGGGAGAGGAGCGCGGCCGCGACGGGAGCCCCGAGCGCGGCGGGGGCGGCGGAGCCTCTGCCGGAGGCGGGTGGCGGGGACGGGGGGCCGGTGCCGGGATGCCGGTGTCCGTGCCCACCGCATCGCCGCCGCCCGCCGCCGCAGGGCTTCTTCAAGCGCACGGTGCAGAACAACAAGCACTACACCTGCACCGAGAGCCAGAGCTGCAAGATCGACAAGACCCAGCGCAAGCGCTGCCCCTACTGCCGCTTCCAGAAGTGCCTCACCGTGGGGATGCGCCTGGAAGGTAAGGACGGCCCGGGCACGGCGGGGAGGGGGACGGCGGCGGGGCCGGGGATCGTGCGGGGACCGTGCGGAKGCTGTGCGGCTGCCGACACCGGTCGCGCTGTCCCCGCCGCCGCCACCTCCCCAGGTCGGTCAGTCCCGTCGCGGCTTCGATTCCGTTTTTCCCTCCCAAGTTAAGAAAAAAATCGTTTTTTCTCTTCGTCTCCCGCTTTTCCTTGTTTCGTTTTGTTTGTTTCCCCGGGGTTCTGGCTGCTACGGCTTCAACTTTCCAGGATTTTTTTTTTTTTGCTGGCAGAAAGGTTGGGAAATAGCAAATAAATTATTGTTTTCCTTAAACACATAATTCCAGAAGCCGAGACTTAAGAAAAACGTTAAAAAWTATGGGGATTGCAATAAAACTGCCGCAGACCCACCACGAATTAAATTTTTCCTCTCGGTGACATTTARTATAACGGATCTCTGACCCCCGGGGGGACAATTCCAGCCCTACAGCCGCCGYCTCTCTCCTGTCGGCACAGAGGATCCCGACAGCAGAGTCGGGCCCCGACAGTCCGTGTTGTCGCSTGTCGCGGGTTCCGCAGTGCTCAACATCCGGCAAAGAAATATATTTGGGGGGACAGGTCKTTGGAACGGGATGGCAGAGCAAAAGCAGAGGCAGAAGGAGACCCCCACCCCAGAGTCGGCCTCCCCCTCCCCTCTTTGCCCTTGAAATCGTTTGCGTTGTGCGTGTGTGGAAGGGGGCTGAGTCCTCCCGCCTGGCCCTGGCCGGGCTGAGCCCCTCTC